ATCGATGGATGCCTTGGCCTTTTTGCTTTTCCTGGACATCATAGAACTGAATTGTAGTTTGTGCAGCTAGTCAGACACGCCGATCCCTGAGGCCTTTCGAGGCACAAACTTTGTTGTGGGGACGACGACGGGTGGTGGCAACGGTGTTGGTGGTGGAAAGCGGTAGTAGGTGGGAAAAGGGTATGGGGATAGAAAGAGAATATTTTTTCAAGCTTTAATTTTTAATTATTTATTTGGGATTTGTTTGCAATTTTTTGAAAAATTGGGAATACATTTGTAATCAATTCTTCATTTTTTTAAATTTAAATATGAGAGTATATTCGTCATTTCACAATAATTTATTAAGAAAATAGAAGAAAATGGATATTCCACACTTCAAAGTTCGTAAGGGGTTTTCCGTTAATTTGAAAAGGTTGGAGTATTTTACAATACGTAAAAGATATTGTGTCAATAAAGCCTTTCCTAACCATTATAAGTTTGAAAATCAAATCATCTAAAATGATCATAAAAATCAATTAAGTTACCATTAATTAAAAATCAAAATAGCAAACAAAAAAATTATAATAATAATAATAAGAAAGAAAGAAGAAAAGCTCAAATTAGTTCTAAAGTGTGGAATTTGATAATCGTGGATATTGGTGGGTTGGTCCATTTATTTGGTTACTTATTCTAAAGTGTTTTAAAGGGTTAATTAGTCCCAACACGGCATCCTAATCTCAATTCACGACAATGGCTGCCACGTCCTACCACCGTTGCTGCCAAACTCCATATAACGGTTAGAAACAAACATGATACCCGAATCGTTCTGATATTAATTGTTGAGAATCGGACCAAATAATAAAGACGAGAAAATAAGAGTAATATGAATAATAATGGATCAAAAAAAAAAAATTTATGTGGAAGATGAGAAGAATTTCATATACAGATAAACTAAAATCGTGTTTACAAAATTTGATACTATGAATCTAAATCTAAATAATTCTCTTAAGTTTTTAATATATACAACAATGATCTAATTGCTATATTGAGTTTATGAAGAGCTTACACCTCTTGGAGTATTTACAGGAGTATTTAGACGCCTAGCTCCTGTTCCTTATTTTCGCTGTTGGGGCATTGGCCGCGTTTTGGACCTAATGCTTTCAAAACATTTTTTCATCAATTTCAAGTCATTTCCCCAATCAAACTCTTAATTTATAATGAAATTTGATCTCTAATCAATCCGAACTTTCAAACCAAAATTATATAGGCTTTCTCCATGAATCAAACTTCCAAATCGTATAGAATTTGAGTCACAACTTAACAGTAACAATTTTCATGGTCTAGGATGATTTTTTTTTTCTTTCTTTTGCTTCTTTCATTCCTTCATGATCACATGGTTAGAAAAAGGCGATATGAATTGCGACACGAGCTCGATCACTTGAAATTCTATGTGCTCAAAACATACTGTAATTTATCAAAAAATTACATAGATTGCAATTTATCGTATTTTCTTTAAATGCTATTTTGTGTCGTAATTTTGAAATATTTAATGAAAATCAATATTTTTCAATTTACCCATATTTTTTTTATTTTTTATATTTGAGTATAAAGCCCATGTTCTTACCAAGTAGTGCTTTATATGTTGGGCTTTCGAGCCTATCTATTTTAGCTCTTTATTTTTGTAGTTTGTTGAGCATTGAAGAATGAGGAAATTAAACCGCATGGGGAATTGCTAGAAGTCGGCCTGTGTCGCTCTCTTAGGTATGGCAACGGGGTCGGGACAACCTCCCCCGCCCCGTCAGGTAATTTCCCACCCCTTCCTCACCTCGTTACCCGTTTAAGGCGAGGTGGGGCGGGCCGGAGCCATTGCCCTTGCCCTTGCCCTTGCCCTGTTTACTACCCCGTTAATTTTTTTTTATACATAAATTTTTAATAATTCATTTTATTGTCCACATTCATTATAGTGAGACAATAATATATTTTTTTAACCTTTATTTATTTTAAAATTTTAAATTCAAATATATTTGATAAACTAAGGTTTTTATTGTTTTTCATATTTTTTAGATAATCTTAGTTGCCATTTTTTATTAGAATTAATGAAATTTCGTGAAATTTTCTATTTAAAGTATTGAATTCTTAAAAAAAAAAAAATTAAACGGGGCGGGGCACCCATTACCCTTCCCCGACCCAAATATCCGATTAAGCGAGTTATCGGGGCCGGGGGGTATCGAATTTTTTTTGCCGGCTTTCTAATTTATGTCTTCGTTTCGATTTTTTTAGTTGTTAAAATTATGAGTAGAGAAAAATCAATGATGAATAAGTGTATAGTACTTATAAGTCTTACTAAGTCCATGTTTGTCTCCCTTTAAAATAAGAAAACTTTAATTCTCATACTTAATTTCAACCACACATTCATGTAATAAAATTCTTTGCACGTAAATTCAAATTTTTTTAATCACACGTTATTCAAAAAAATCACTATTCAAAATATCATTTTTCAAAATAATGGCAATCAAAAATGTGGTGAAAATAAATGTTTTGACTTTCAAAAGTAATTTATAAGAACTAACCTATGTTTAGCAAGTGTTTATAAAACAACTCTGTGTACACCTAGCTTTCCATTCCACACCCCGCACAGAAACACAACTTTATTTCACCTGAGGATAGGGGTGTCAATTTCGCTTGTCGGCTCAGAATGGCTTGTGACTCGGCCCACGAAAAGCCCTAGTCGAACGGGTCATTGTGTCACGGGCTATTTTCGGCTCGACTTGATAAGGCTCTAGCCAAAAGCTCGTGTCGAACCACAATTTTTTGGTCGAACAAAAGCTCAGATCGGCTCGAATCCAAAAAGTCCAAACCATTTTTACTCGAGTAGACTAAACTCAACTTGTCTCGGCACGTTGACATCCCTACTTGGGGAGTCGGCCTTTTGGGAATG